TTACCATACACCATCCTTACAACGGGAAATGTGATTTTTTCCCTTTTCAGGAACATGCAGACATAGCAAAATTCATTTTCTGTTTCAAAAAGAAGCCTTGGGTCATTGAGACACCCACATTTAAAATATTCCCTGCAATTTGAGTTAAAATAGGGGTTAAATTTAAATAAGAGCAGACTCATTTACAAAGAGGCCACGATATCGACACAATAACATCACAGAGGTCAAATAATTGTGATTCCAGCTCTCAAATACACAGGCCTCTGCCTCTGAGACCAAAGAAACATCTCTGTGAGCTGTCACCATGGCCTTTCTAAAGGCACCTACTAAAGAAAATACCACTGTGCCAGTAAGAGAATATTTGATATAAGGACCCAAAAACTGAAGCATAAATATTTTTTAAGGCAAAAATTAACAGTCAAATGTTTGTTTTCCTTGGCAAAACATTAACCTAAAAAGGTTTCAAGTCACCCAGAATATTTCATGACACTGAAAGCAAGCATATGCACCATTCCAGTCTGGGAGGTTTTATTTTTGAGTTACATTTAGTTAAGCCAGCTTTCAGAGTATTTCACTGAAAAATGTTAATGTTTCAAGTAAAAATAGTGTAAAAAACAAAAAGGAATTGCTCAGATGCAAATTTTTTGGCGATGGGCAATAAATGGGAGGAGGAGGAGGAGCAATAAGTGGTCATTCTGGTCTTTAAAAATATTCTTCATTCCAGAGAAATATTCTTTAAAAAAAAGAGAGGATATCATCCCTCCTGTGCTTAAAGCCCAAGGGAAAATGCTCCCACTGGTGGCTGCTGGCAGGAAACCAGAAACCACAGTAATTTCCAGCACTTCAGCTTGTGCACAGCCTGCTTCCACCAGGACTCACTGCTGAGCCATCAGCGTGAAAATGGCAAAATGAACTGACAAGTTTTGATGTGCAATGAGCTATTTTTTGCTCAGAGGACAATGCATTTAGGGGAGATAATTCCTTCCTGTCCTCTCCCCCCAGCTTCGTGGTGCAGCTCCAGTAGTGTTTAAAATAATCTCTCCAAGGGGAATGTACTGAACCAGAAGGGGCTCTCCAGCAGAAACAGATTGTAGCCTTAAGATCTGATCAGGAAAAACACTGTGCACACACTTTGCTTTTACATTTGTGAGTCATCTAATTGAAGTTAGACCTGCAGAGATGAGTGCTTCCAGGATTTGGCCTTTGGCGGTGGTGAGGCAGCTCAGAGTCTGAGTGGAGGTGTTTTACAGCAGCGCTCTGCTGGCAGCTCATTTTGGTTAGGGTAGATAAATCCAGAGAGTCTGAGCCTCTCCAGGGTGTTCTGGTCCTTGGCTGCTGCTTGGTCCAATGATTTCCTTCTCCAGTTTCAGCCCTGCTTTGTGAAGTGGCTGCAGCAAATCTTTCTGTGTGTGTTGTGTGTGTGGGGTGGGGGAGCCCCAGGTGTGTTCACAGAGCTTTGTCAAGTCCAATGCAGTACATCACAAATCTCTCTCAGGATGTAAGAAAGCTCCTTCTCAAAACTGTGTCAGCCTTTAAGGGTTTTAGCCTGAGCTGCTCTTCTTGGGAGGCTGCCCCAGAGCTGGATCCTCTGAACGATGGGGATTTTTTTTCCTGATTCTTATCCTAAATTTGTTTGGGGACAACTATTATCCATCTCTTCTTAAGCCAGCCTTGTCCCTTACCTCAAGTAGCACTTTTCCTTCACCCATGGTCCCCTTCAGTTCTCCCCTGTGACTTTCCTCAAGGTGCATTTAGAGAGTGCCTTTGCTGAGATAAATGTTAGCCCCCATCTCTCTGAGGTGCTGGATTCTCAGAGGAACTCCTGGCTTGTCTCAGTCATGAGCCAAGGTTGGGTTTTGCATCAGGTGCTTAAAGTTCTTGAAATAATTTTTGCTGCCACTGCTGAAGTCATTTCACGTCTTGTTATTCCTGCTCCAGTTACCTGTGGATCAGGAACAGGGAACACTAATCACTTTAAGATTGCACTTCACAAAAAGCCAGGCAGGCCAGCATTTTACTTCAAACATGACCCTTTTTATAACTTTTTATTTCCCTTCTTTTTTTCCCCCTCCCGCTCTCCTAAATGGAAATTACCACTCTGAGAGTCTCGACTTATTGCAGAAATAATTGGGCACGTTGACACATTTTAATAGGACAGATTTCAGTGTCACAGTGCAGATCTGACAGCTTCATCTGGCCTTACATCTCGTTCTGGGCCAGCAGGGCAGTCCATACCATACTGCCATAGTAATTAATCAGCTCAGGGCTTTGTTAGGGTCCCTGTGTGGGTATGAGCTGCACAAAAGGATTTGCTGACTTAGCTTTCTAGCTATAAAGTAACTTGACAGTGCCCATTCCATTCCCAAAACAAATGACTGAAACCCAGAAACAGAAGCAGATTTAGAAGCAGGTGTGCACTACTTCAGGAGAAAAATAAGTGCTGTGGCTGAAATCTGTACAACCACTGAAATGGCTTAATCTTTGCTTTTGACTTATATTTCAGAGCTAGCTAATGAAATCCTTCCGGCTTTTTGAGGTTAGACTGCAGAATTGTGATGGCTTTATTTATTATTTAATACTACTCTTGCCTGCCACAGCCTCATCAAATATTTGAATTGCTTGGGTTTGACTCTGTGTGCCACAGGGCACAAGGAGCAGGGGGCCACCAGCTCCACACCATTTTAATCTGCTCAAACTTTCAGTCAGGTTTGATGGCACAGTGAAAAAATCCTGTCTTAATTCAGGTGCACTGCACTCTGCCTGGTGACAGTCACAGGGTGGGGATAACAGCACATGCCATGGCGTGTGTGCTCCCTCCCCTGCATCCCTGATGTTCTTCCTCCTTTCCCCCAGAACTGGGAACTGTTCTTGCACTACCTGAGCTGCTTTAGTGCCAAAATTTTGAAGTCTGTCCTGGGAAAGCGGTGAACACCTGCAATTCCTGTTGAGGACAAGAAGCGAACAAACGCCTGGCATTTCTCTTCCAGGTCACCTTTCAAACAAGTGCTTTCCACTAAACCCTTTTTGCAGTCTTTAGAACCTTTGAAAGCACAATCTCTACTGTCAGGTGCTTTCAGTTCCTCTTGTTTTCTTGGTGGTTTCACATTGCAGGGACTCCCAGAAATGGAACAAGGGGAAGGTTGCAATCAGTCCACTTCAGAAGCAGACAGATATAACCTGGAGCTGTTGCACATAAACCCTTGGGGTTGTTTTTAAGTAAATGGATTGAAAGCTCCAAGGAAAGTAGTGTGACTTTCATTTTTTAGCATTCTCTTTAAAGCTAAAGTAGCTTTAGTAAAATTAAAAGATGTTCAAACGTAAACCTCCGTCCCATTATTTTGCACAAGCTCTGCTGAAGAAAACTCTACTTGCAGCCTCTTGCTCTTCTTCCCCTGATACTGATGGGGTGGAGGGGTGAGGAAATGGCTGTGTGGGGGCTTAGCTGCTCACCACAGCTGGTTACTATCTTTCCTGGTTAAGGAGAGGGAAAAAAAACAGTACTGAACTTCCCTCTTGGTGTCTTTCCTTCTTGCTCACAAGTAATACCTGGCTGGTTTAAAGCACTTTGTACTTCCTTAGCGTCTCAGGAGTATTCAACTAAGTTAAAAGCTTACATCCTGAAAAAAAAAAAAAAAAAGGGTTATGAAGGTATTTTTTTGTGTTCTAAATTCCTGAGCTGTACATGAGGCAGGACTTCTGCTGCCATGTGTAACACACTTGGAGAAGTAAGAGGACCAAAGTGTTTAGGGATGCATGAGTCTCACCTGACGCTGCTGGCCCCAAAAAACCCATGAAATGATGCTGCAGAGCAGGTTTGACCAAACCCTACAGCTCACATTAGCAAAAATTACAGGGCTGTGTAGTTTTCCTGTTCAAAACCTAGTGTGACAAGTTTTGGGGTTTTGGGGGGTTTTTGTTTGTTTTTTTTTTTTAATTAAAAGGTCTTAAAGTGCTGTTGTAGGAACTTCTTTAACCTCTGCTATTCCTGTTTATAGAAATGTTGGTGTGTGGGCTTGATAGCTGTTCAATCCTAACCTTTGCTTCAGCAGCTGACTTTCAGGCACTCTGTTTCTCAAGATTAATACCCTCTTAATAAAAAAAACCTTGTCTGCATTGAACTCTGCTTAAATGTGGGTATCTGAAAACAAGTTGAAAATGGCTTTGTGAATGTTATGAGCGGAATGTATAAAAACAAAAAATAGAAATAAATCCTAAAATAGCATGGAAAACGTTAAAACATTTTCTGCACGTTTGTTTACACATTAAGAAGGGATATGTTCAAAGAAGCCAGTGGGCAAATGCTAGGGGCTGTGCTACATAAATCTCTTCTCAAGACAGCCTTTACCACAGCTGAATAAATGATATATGGTGGGTACAGATAGAGGTGGATGCCAGTAGGAAGGAAGGGGGAGAAATTCAGGTCTCTAGTGTTGCCTAAAAACAAAGGAAAACTTTTCAGTGTTGAGAGTGGTAAGGTAAAAAGGAGTTCTTCAGTGAAAGCTTGCAGGTACACAAAGTTTAGGTATGCATGTGAGTGATTGAGGATTTCAATTTTAATCACAGGATACAATTTTAATAGGGTTAATTAATTAGTAAATCTAGCAGGTAGATCCAGTAAGAGACCAGTTGCCTTTGGGTCTGTCCCCTGGAGTTGGTCCAGGGGGTTTCTTGTCTTATATTTTGCTACAGCTCTAAAATTCATGTGAAAAACGAAGTATCCTGGTTAGAAGTTCTCTTCTCGAGAATGAGACTAAACAGAATTTAAAGAAGGTGTTAGAAAGGGTTGGCTTATGATTCTGAAATGTGAGAGAGGCCAGGAAGAGTGCTAGGAGCTATACAGCTACATGTTATAAAATTCCCCAGGTACACGCGAGGCATCCCTGGGGACACCGAAAGCCGCGTCCTGTGCGTGCTGCGAGTTCACTCCTCAAAGGGGTGGGTTTGTGCTTTGAGCTGAGGGCAAAACACCCTCCCTTGCCTTGTCTGTGTTCTGCCTGCAGTGGCTGAGGAACCCTGGCCCCCAGCACGAGAAGAGGACGCTCTTTGGGGACATGGTGTGCTTCCTCTTCATCACCCCGCTGGCCACCGTCTCCGGCTGGCTGTGCCTGCGAGGAGCCGTGGACCACCTGCACTTTAGCAGTAGGCTGGAAGCTGTTGGCCTCATTGCACTCACTGTGGCACTCTTCACTATTTACCTCTTTTGGACCCTGGTAAGTATCAGGGCTTTTATTTAACCCACAGGAGAATAAAAAAGTGGGGGAGAGAAAACTGGAAAATGAATGGCATTGCTCCTGCTTGCCTCCTGTGCTGGTAGATGCAGCCTGCAGGAAACCTCTTGTTTCCACAGCATTCAAGCTCCCTGGAACACCAGAAAGACAGTTTGCTTCAGGGTGAGGATTCTCAGATCCCAAACACCACTGGGGACAGCGGGAGGGAGGCAGGGAAGTCGCAGGGAGGAGTCTGGGACAGATGCTACAGGAGGGAGTTTCATCAAATGTGATGTGCAAAGGGTGAAGGCACAGCACACACACACACACAAAAAAAAAAGATTTAGGCAAACAACTTGGCTGCCACATTTTATTCTAATGCAACATCTTGCCAGTTTTGCAATTCAGGAGTACTGGATGTGGGGGAAGCCCAGGTCTGTAGAAACAGAGCTGCCTTTGCAGTGCAGGTTAAATCGCATCCTGCACCCCGGCACGAGTCACTCGCATGCCAATCCATCCTGAGAGCCACTTGTTCTGTGCCAGGTTGTTGAGCTGAGATAATTTACTGTCCCCAGGGCACTGACAGGGCCCAGCAGAGACCTGAGGAACACAGGGGACAGCTGCCAAAGGCCAGGTTGATGCTGTGTTTGATATCTCACACCTCTTCCTGTGCAGTGGCAAGGGCAGGGTGGGTGCAAAGGGGCAGCAGTGCACTCAGATGGTGCCAGGCTGGTTCTGCTGGGGCAGAAAAAGCCCAGCCTGCCTCCCCTTCCAGCAGATTTGGACCAGTGTAAGCTGCTGAGGAAGGTGGCATTTCTAAAAAACTGCATTGGTGGAGCAAGAAGCCCCCTGTGCTGAGGAAAAGGGGATGGATGTGAGGGGAGACACAGAAACACCACACTTCCTCATGGGTGTCTCCAAAAAAGCCATGAAAGGGAACATTGCATTTACACATTTGTGAGCCCTGTCTCACCCACAGAGGAGGGAAAGCTCAGAGTTTTGCCTTTCCAGCCTTGTGCAGTTCACCTCTTTGTTGTTTCTGCTTTTCTGTCAAGCAGCAGCACTCTCCTGAGACAGGCCAGGTACTCCAGCAGAGAGGCCACACTTGTTTTTCCTGCAGTGCTGGGTGTAGATGTGCCTGGAAGGTCTGCAGGCAAATATTGTTCAAATTTCCTTTGGGTACAGCTGCCTTAGAAACCAAAATGCTGAACGATTTACCTAAGAGACTTAACTCACCGTCACCAAAATTGTTGGGAGGGGTAAAAGGAATTTTTTTAGGTGGACTTAATTAGCTGTGACACATGGACTTGTCCAACCTTGCCTATTAAGACTACTGCAGCATCTCAGCTTTGGTGCCTGTCTCTGGGTATTTCATCTGCAGAGTAAGAAGCAAAAATCCCTTCTGTCCACTTTATAAAATTTACCCCTTCCAAAGCACACAGAGAAATGTGCTGCTGGCTCTTGGAGAGCATGGCAGTGATAGTGAGCCTGATGTAAATGCATGCCTTGGTTGATTTAATCAAAATTCAGTATCTTTGATTCTCCCTGGGTTGTGGACAGTTGTAATTCCAGTCTGAATTGTTATTTAGGGCAGTAGGAGATGGATGGGCTAAGGAAGCACCGTGTTCACCTGGGAAGGGGGAGGCAGGAAAGCCTTTAGGGGGCTGAATCACCAAATAATTCGAGGCAAAATAACCCTCCCTGCAGTTATGGAGGAAAGCCCCAGCTCCCCTTGCAGGAAGGAATGGTCCTACACACAGAAATGTTAATTTCATCCAATTCTTCAGCAGCACATGCCTTGTCACTTTTGGAAGTGGGAGAACCCTGTCACACAGCTGTGGCTGTGCAGGGAAAAGGTTCAGTGCTGCGGGGTAAATTGCAGACAAGATGATACAATATCCCTTTAGGTCCTGGGGAAATTAAGAGCACTAAAACTTGGTTTTACTTCCAGTAAATTGGCTTTCCAGCTCTGGAGGCAGAAGCTGGCATACAGATTATTTACACACCACAGTTATCCCAGTGAGCAGTGAACAGGAGGGATGCTATTTTTTAGCACCCCAGAAGCTGTTTTATCCCTCCCTCTAAAGCAGACAAGTTATCCATAAAACACTGCTGCTTTTTACTCTGTTGTTTTAACACACACCAAAAGAGGTTCTCCCAAGAAGGAAGACCTGGACAGAAAAAGGAGGTTGATACTCAAAGAATTCAGGGCCACACTTCATTTTCTCTTGTATAACATGCACACCTGGTTTAAAAATGCAGCTCTTACTCCAAAAACCTCACATTCTGCTGCTTGAAAACCCAACCTGAACTCTCCTGAAGCTGTCACTGCATTTCACAGGGCATCCACCTTTGCAGATGTTGGGGTGTTTTTTTTACCCTCCTCAGTACTCCAAGCAATTTCTGCTGCTCCTGCAGTGTCTTTTGAGGAAAGATTTCTCATATTCCTTCATACACACTGCTCCACAGAAGATGCAGGATGCTTTCCTCCATGGGGTGGAGGGGAGGTTGAAAGTTGGGGGAATCAATCTGAGGAGCTGCCTTTGCTTTTAAACTTTACTTCTAAACTGCTTAGTAAATCAAAGAAATATAGGTTTTCCTCAGACAACTGTAAAAAGATCTAATAATAAAAGAAAAAAAGAAAAAAAAAAGCATTCTCCTTGTAGGAGATCATTGAAAGTTATGTTTCTTTACTTAAAACACCCTTTATGCAGTAAGGATACAGTGCATGGGTCAGCTCCTGCCCACAGCCCAAGGACAAAACAATCATCACTTGGCACATTTCTCTCAAAATTTACATTTTGGTTTTAGATTTTTTGTTGTTGTTGTTGTTGTTGTTTTTTTAAGCTGCACATATGCATCCTCTTACACAGCTACAACTCCCACAAAAGCTTGGCTGACACTAAAACTTGGTGTAAACTATTTTTGAAAAACAGGAGGCAGAGCTATCTTGCATCTCCACAGCAGTCACTCATTTCTCTTCCACAATAAGGCTGAAATTACCTGATAACAACAACAACAACAACAACATGAAACTTTCAGAGACAATCTAAACTGAGACACCCACGTTGCCAGCTCATTGCCTCTGTGCAAGCCCAACTCTGATGCACTCAGCAGTAAAATATTACAATGTAGAACACACAACCCTGTGTTCATCTGCCTGCAAACAATTACACTGTCAATTTAGCAACCTGAAGCAAGGCAGGATATCCCAAATTTTTTTTTTTTTCCCATGTGTGCCAGCCGCTCTTGAGAAAGGCAGAGGCAGGATGTCTGATTTTTCAGGCTGTGGAAAAGGGGAATGAGAGATAAAATAGGCACAGGCTGCTTTTCTCCTCTGCTGTGGCACCTTGGGGCTTGGTGGGTCTCTCTCTTCAGCAGTTTTCACCCATTTTTGTCCCACTGGGAGGTGTTTGGAGCCCCAGATGGCTCCTTGCAGAGGGTGAAGGCAGCTTCAGGAAGGTGTCCCTTCTGTCCCCAGGTGTCCTTCAGGTACCACTGCCGGCTGTACCACGAGTGGCGTCGGAACAATCAGCGGGTGATGCTCCTCATCCCGAAATCTGCCAACGTCCCCTCCACCCAGCAGTCCCTGCTGGGCCTGCAGCCCCTCAAAAGGAGCTCCAAGGAGACAATCGTGTGATTTGGGGTGGGGCTGTGCACTGGAGGTGTTTCTTTCTCAGACTGGCCGGGGTCGGGGCAGCGTCCGGCACCCAGGAATGTGCAATTTGGATTTATGGACCGACTGCAGAGGGAAAAGTCACAGCCAGAATCCAAGTCATGGATGCTGAAGTCATTTGTGGCATTTGCTAAGCTGCCAAATGTGTTTAGTTTAGCAGGGACCCTATGGATTCTGCAAATGTGTTAATTCTTGCGTCATAGAGTGATGCAAACTTTTTTTATTGTTTAAAGTATTAAACTATGGTAATTAACAATGCAAAACAGGTTTAAAAAGTGCTTTGTTTTTATGATTTCTTGCTCCTACGGTACTGTTTCTTTAGGCAGCTGGACAGTAACCAATGTTTCTTTCTGCTTCCTAAAGCACAGCAATGGCATTTCCTCATTTGATTTTATCTGCAGGTCCATGATACAAATGTTTTGATTATTAAAATTTGTGTGTAATGAGCTCTAGAAATTGACACATTATTTAAATGCTACAAAGTGATTAGAAAATCCTATTACCCATTTCCTATTTTGCAGAGAAGGCCTGACAGGAAGATTCTTCAGTTATGAATCTAGCAGGCACAAGAAAAATTAAAAAATTAGACAAATTGCAGCAATCTTCCTATCAAAAGTATTATAGTACACAGCACTCAGGAAAAAAAAAGAAAAAAAATGTACTTTTCCATGAAGAAGCACCACATTCTTCAGTGAGGTGCACATTCTGCTGGTGTGAATTCAAACTTGGCCAATTTATCCTGCATTTACACCAGGCTGAATTTAACTCAACAGCTTACTTTTGTATAGGGAAAGCTCTGCATACATAATGAATGAGATCATCAGATAAGTTTTAGGAAGCAGGGACTCATCTTGCATGAAGAACAGCATTACTTTAAAGCAGCAGAAACTCCAGCTTGACAGGTAGGATTTAGCAGAGTGTGTGCAAACCCTGACCTCTCATGGTAGCACTGAGACCAAAAAAAAAAATTAAAAACATTTAATACACAGTCTTCTGTGGTGGCCAAATTGAATTTGGAGTGTAAAGATCAGACCTTATTCCGGGGTGGCTTTATCTGCTTCCCCTTGGTTTTATGCCCACTTCATTCAGCAATTCTTCACTCCCAGAAGAGACACACTTATGTGGACAGATTTATTTTAAATAACTATACAAGATCTCATTACCAAATGCTGCTAGAATTAAAAATCGATACAGAGCCTCTCTGAACAGATGAATTTCTTAGAATTGTGTATGGATGGCAATACCACCACGTGCTCTGTTTTCCAGACACTGCAGGAATTGAAAATCAAAAGGAAGTCATAGCAGGAAGGATAATAATTTGTTATTCATAATGTTCAAGGTATTATGGGTATTTGCCATCAGACAAGAAGTTATTTGATGTCTTGTGCGTGCTCTGTGGCAGGGGTGGGAAGAAAGCTTAGTAGACAAAGCCAAATCTGTTAAATTTATTTATTCTGTCTGTGGACCAGTCTAGCTGTGAGCATGTTATTTAACAATGTTCCGTGTCAGTCATGGGGATCGGAGAACCATGGGGATATACAGCAATAACAGCCTCATTCCAACAGAAAGGAACTCACACAACCAGCCAAGGTGTGTAGTTAAATCATGAACCTGCAGACTCGTCTGACAAGGCTGGGGTTGCTCATGTTTGGCTGTGAATATCTGCTTCTCTTCCGGAGAAAACGATACAAGGCTCTGAAGACAAGGATGTCACAATCTCTGTGAGAGCCTAAAAACCTGTAGTGCTTTATTTTTCTTTTAATACCTCTTCCCAAAAGTCAAGAACTGTTTGGAATGAAGACTGAATGTGCATTTAAGCAGAATTCCAGATCAAAAATAAATAAATAAAAATATCTGTTGGCCGGAGCAAAGAAATAAAGCAAATCGAGCTGGGTCAGGATGCTGTCAGTGTTTTAATGCCCGCACACATACATTAGGTAAGCTTTCTTCAGAACTTTATTACTGCTCTTGAATTCCTTGAAAGAATTTTTATTCCTAGTGACTGGTATTGTTGCCACTTTGCCTCATGAAACCAAAAATTGGAGTGATTCGGAATTAAGTGGCAAAACATTCAGGGAAACATTTATTGAAGTGAAGCTGCGAGGTCCATGCACGGAGATCAGCACAGTGGCTTGGCTCAGCTCATCTGTGTTATTTCAGTTTTGGTTTTTTGGTCTTTTTTTGTCTTGTTTTTTTTGTGTGTGGAGACATTTTTATTTACCTGAAGAAGGCACATTGAAGCAGAGAGAAAAAGTATGGTCCAGTTTGGCACATACATGACTAACCCAGTTCCTGTGCTCGGTGCTGCAACACTTGATGCAGAACTGCCTGGTGAAGCCACCAGCAGTAGTGTCCCATGGATTTTCTTAAGGAAAAAAAAAAAGTGGCAGGAAAGATCCAGCCAGACACTTACCATTGCATTAAACCCATGGAAACAAAAAACAAAAACACAAAACAGAACAACAGCAACAACAAAAAAAAATCAACCAAAAAACATACTTGTATTCCTGTTTTTCTAAAACACAAGAACTGGGAGGTGAGAGATATTACTTCTTAATCCCAGTTCTGCTCTAAAGATTCACAGACAGAAGGATCTGCCAGATGGGAGCTGATTTTTCTTCCACGAGTTGATGCTGTAGATGCCACACCAAGCCCAAATTTCCATTAAAAAACTGGATCATTACAGCAAACATTCTACAACAGCAGCAACACCTACTTCTGTCTGAATAGAAGTAAAAGTCAAAATTAACCACAGCAGAAGGCAGAGCCAGCAAAGCTCCTGGCAGTACAATGACACCTTTGCTATGCTCTCCTTAAAAAGCAAAATTAATTAAAGAACATAATTAATGAAAGGATGAGTGACCAGCTTTTTATTTTTTTAAAGAATGTCACTCAACTTCTCTCTCAGAAACTTCATGCTTTCTTCTCATGAAGCTGACCTTGCAATTTATGTTCCTTTTCCAGATAAGTTACATAGAAGGAACAGTATTCAACAGTATTTGAGCCAGAATTTCAAGTTGCAAATGATAAGAGCAGCCTGTTCTGATTCAGTGTGATGAGCATAATGCAAAATGAGGAAGTTTTGCTTTTTTTTTTACATAGTCTTTTGCCTGCAGGACTTGCCTATCACATTACATAAAGATTTAGAAATACCCCAGCTTTCTGTTCAGCTGGAAGCCACAACAAAAGCCATTATTAAAGATACTTCAGTTTTGGGCAACGTTTGGGGCATTTTTTTCTTTCGTTACTCAACTGAACAGCTCTGCCAGACATGAGACCTCAAAATGTCATTTACATTTCATTTATTTAAACCAGCTTTGCACCAACACAAAGTCACACAGGGCAAAGTGAAAACTCTGCAAAAAAGGGGACCCAGAGCCAATATCTGGCCATTGATGCAATGGGTACCATCAGAAAGAGGTCTGGGAACAGATACTGGGACAGACTCATGCACTAAGAGAGCTAAAGAAGCTCTCCCTCTGAAAAAAAAATAAGAAGGAAAAAAAAAACCCACCAAACCAAGCCTGTTAACAATTAAATATCTTTACTTGCTACTTTTTGTGAGACACTCATTTAACACTGGTTAATTAAAGAAGCTTTTCCTTGCAAGCAGAACTGAGCCCTGCCTCTTTACTGCCAGTTACTGGGTGTCCAAAAGCATCTTTAAAAAATACCATGCACACTCACAGGCTCACACCATTTTTAAGGCTGGAAAAGATGATGAAGTCCAACCACAAACCACGGCCCCAGGTGCCACATGCTCAGGTTTTTTTGACCACTCCCAAGGTGCTTCTGAGTGATCAGAAGTTGTGTTGGTGGGAGAGTTTAAAATATTCTTACTCTTGTTTTGAATTTTAAAAATACCTACTCTTGTTTTGAAGCAGTCATTCTATAAAGATAACTTTGTATATGATTTGTTAATGCTTTTCAAGTAATTGATAGGAAAAAAAAATAATATAGGGAGTATGTGGTGGCAGGTGTGCACATGTAAAAATATTTCAAGAATACTAACAGCAGTATTTTGTTTTCTAGGAAGCCTGCTTGCCATTCTGTGCTTCAAAAAAACCATAAATATTATGGGGATTTTAATATTTAATACATATTACTAATATGTGCTTCTCTGGACAAAGTGTTAACAAAACTGATGCAAAACATAAACATCAGTTAACTAATTGTTAACTTTCCACCACTTTGCTAGGCAGACCATTCCACCCCTCCAGTGAAGAAACTTCCCCTAATAACCAGTTTAAACCTTGCCTGGAGCTGCAGGGGGTTGTTGTGAGCCAGCACCTGCCCTGGTTGTGCCTCACCCCTTGGATCCAGCCTGTCCAGACCCCTCTGCAGAGCCCTCCAGAAGATCCTCACTCAAATTCAGTGTAATCTCCAAATTTACTGGGGGAACACTCCAGGCCAATGGAGAGAAATAATAACCAGAGCTCATCCCAGCACAGCACTGATGATGATGATGACCCCTCACTAATCCACCCTGCAATTCCCACGTTCCAAACTTGGTTTCACATGCATTTCCACGCGAGGCTGCTCTGTCAAAAATCAATTTCACAAAACCAAGGGTTACATCTTGCAATCCTTAAGTCCTGCATCTTTTGCTGGCAGCCTCTCCCCACCTGCTTGAGCCAAGGCTGCAAAACACTCTTCCTCCTCCCTTTGGTGTTGAAAGGTTACAGAACCAGCGGGAATGTTCTTTATTCTAAGTGTACTAAACACTTTCCCAGCAAAAGTTGTCAAAATGTTGATATTCTATGTGCAACATGCCCTGAGGAACAACAACAAAACACACCACCCTCAAAAACAAGATGCTGCAGTTGCAGGGGAAACCAATGTCACAGTTGCATTCCACAGCTTAAATTACTATGCAGAAATTGATAATAATAAGTAATAAGTATACTACTTATTAAAAAGTAATAATAAGTAATAAATAAAAAATAAATAATAAGTAATAAGACTTGCTTGCCAATAATAATATTTTTTGTTCTGAAAGTGCAGAACAGCTATGAAAACTCACATCCAAGGGTTAGCTTTTAATTGCAGGAATATTCTATCACCCAATCAGCTTAAGCTGAAATGTGCTTTCCTTTATTGATGCCACAAATGCAGCTTTTCTTCGGGGTTAATCACAGTGTTTTTATCACACAGAAATCCTGAACTTATGGAAACCCACCAAAAAGAAACCAGATCTGCCAAAGGCTCTGAGCAGTAAATACACACCAAGCAAAAACCTGAGATAAAATAGCTAACTTCTGCCATAGATCCTGTGCTGGAGCTAGTTGAGTATTATAAATAATTAAGTGTCTGAGCATTTCCTTGATGTCAACCATCACAGACCAGGGAAGGCTAAATAAGTGTTTAAATCCATCCCATACAGTCTCCACTCCCTTTCTAAAAATCACCAATTATTACCAGTTGTCCTCTTTGGGACAGGGGCTTTAAAAGCTTTTATTCTCCATCAACTACTTAATTCCTTTGCCTGGAGAAAAATCCTTCATAGTTATAACATGGCCATTCCTGTAAAAGCATTTTTTTTTTTTTAACCTGAAGTACAGATACTGCTTGCAGTGCATTATGAATATGAAACACAGTATTTCACAGATAAAAAACATCCTTTTCAATCCAGAAACCCCCAAATTAGTATCAAAATTATACACTGATAAGACAAATTTTCATGGAAAAAAATTTTAAACTAAGATCAGCCTTTAAAATTGAATCATTTATAGGAGAAAATTAGTAATTAGAATCTGTTGAACAGAATCTACATATTAATTTCTCTGCCCATGTTTTGCTGTCTGCTCGGACAAATGTGATGTAAATCATGGACAAGGAAATCCAAAGCAAAAAACAAACTTTAGCCCAAAACTGCTCTCAACAACACCACAAACTAATTTACACCAGTTTTGACTACACTGGGGTTTTTATAATGAGCACTGCAAGCAAAGAATGCAGCTCAGAGGTTTGCTGCACAGGTCAAACCACTTATTTCCTAAATTCCTAATCTGTTTTTCAGAGGAATGAGTGCACTGGAGCAGAAACGTTTCTGGTAAAGTGTTTATCCAGCTACAAGCACTAAATTGCTAAAGAGTTTTCACCTGCAGGAGGATGAAATTTGTACCTAATTCCAGTAGCAACGATAATCAAGTTATGGAACTTGCAGGAAGTGCTGGGTTGTTAAGGAGCAAGTGTTAAAAAAAATGACAAGCAAAACAAGACCTCCACCTTGTGGCAGGATGTTTCACAGTTGTGCTTCCCAAAACTTCCCTCTGCTAATTTACAGGAATTCCTGCCACAGCAAAGGGGAAAAAAAAATAAAAATTATTCTAATATTTGTATTTCTCCCATTGTCATCGAAGAACAGGCTCTACAAATAAAATAAATAGGAATAAATAGGAACAAATAAACAGGAATTTGATCTTGCAGGAAGGCTGCTACCATAACTTAAGAATTTGTCCATCAATCCCCCCTTTCACTTCTGCTGGCACAGAAATGCCATCACATTGGTCACCAGAAAAGGGCTCATCCAAGATGAAAGCCATGTAAAAAAGTCTTAATTTTGCCATGAAAAAAAACCCCACAACCCAAAACATCCAGTCAATTTAAAAAAAAAAAATCCAATCAGTTTCCAAAATTCTGGCCATGCATTTAAAACAATACATTCAGGCTATGTCAAAAGGTAATTATTTTACACCACTTCTAAATCTCTCTTGCTTGCTCAAACTGCTTAGCCTGGTACTTGCAAGATGCAATAAAGTCAGTCCAGTAAGAACAGAACCATGAGCAAAGATGAGCACAAAGGCAACAGAGTGTGAATAAAGCTCAAAAGAATTAATTTTCCCAATGTGAAGCAGTATCAGCCATTACTCAGAAGCAATCTTTGCATCTCAAATGCCACTGTTCCCTTTAATGGATGTTTCTTCAGCTTCAAAGCCCATCAGTTTCAAGGATTCAATACTCATTCAACTTTCAGCTCAGTTCTAGGAAGAAACAAATTCCAAAAACTTTACTCTTCTGCAGAGGTACTTTATTCAAATGTTTTCCAGACATCAGAATAATGTGAAAAGGACAGAAAAACTTTCAACATTGGCAAAATTACAACTGTTTCCCATACAAATGTAGACTAGACCTCTAGAGACTTTGTTTTGTTACTAAAAATTGTAAACAAGTAAGGCAATCCATATTGAAACAGCTTTCTAATTTGTTAGAAAAAAACCACATTAAGAAAATTTAAGCTGGTAACACTATCTTAACACCACAACTACAAGGTGTAACATGAATCCTCTTCCAGAATTAAGAACTCTAAACCAATCCCCAACAGCACCTAAAATACAAAGAGGTCGTAGCAACTAGTCTAGAGTGGTATAATCTAAAAAAATCGATCCCCAAAACACACTGGAATATTCCTACTCCAGCAAGGTTTCAATGAAGAGAGACTGGCGTATAAATCTGAGAGAGACAGGAGCATCAACTCTCAGTTCTCCCTGTCAGGAGCCACCAGCTCACGTCCTGCCAGGAAGTCGAGATGCTTGTGACAAACCTTCCTTCTTATTTTGTATTTTTTTTTTTTAATTTATATTTTTTTTAAAATTTTTTTATTTTTTTTTTCTTCTTCAGTGGCAGAGGAAATTTAAGGCCATCAGACTCGCAGCTTTTGAAAATTCACAGACAGGAAAATGACGTTGTGCTTCTCAGAAGGCTCTGTTCTGCAGGCAGGGATTACCACGGCTGGGGAGCCTGGAGGAGCTGGAATTTCACATGACCACACAGCTTCTGTTGGATGCCCTTTGCTCTGCCTGTTGAGAGCAGGGAGAACCATTTAAAACCGAAAAAGAAACCAAAAAACACCCTCAACAAGAAAACCACGATCCCCCCCCCCCACTAAACAGACAAACAAACAAAACCAAACCCAAAACAAAATCCACAAAAAAACCAAAACAAAAATAAAACAAATGAACAAAAAAAACACCACCCCAAAAAATCACCCCAGCAGCAAAATGCTTTCCTACTCAAAAGAAACTGCCGTGCTTTTATATATATATAATTTTAATAAATATATAAATTTTAATTTTACATATAATATATATTATGATATATTACATTAGGATATATATTACGTTATGTTAGGAGGGATTTGCAACAATGTTATGATATATACTACATTATGATATATTAGTTATATTATATTATACTATATTATATTATATTATACTATACTATATTATATTATACTATACTATACTATATTATATTATATTTATGAAATTGCTGCTCTGGCATGGTACAAACAAGTGTCAGCAAAGCTATACAACCTGTTTTTACCCTGGAATTAAAAGAGTGTTACCTTGTCCTTTCCTGTTGAGGAATAATAGAGGACAGGTGCCATATTTGAATCAGGGAGCATATACAAGCACCATATAAAAGTTTTATTTAAGAAATCTAACATCTCTGATTTCCAGCACAGCCCCTTTTTTTTTTTTTTTAACTTCAGAACTTCATTTTTTCTGCATGCCAGGGACATTTTCTCTAAAAGAGTTTTCAAATCTCTAATTTTCTCAATCAGAAAAAATATGTGAACAGAATACGCTAACACGATTTTTTCTATCAG